TCCAAAATAAGTACGTAGCTCTTCTATTAAGTAATTACTAGAGAATTAGAAGCGCAATCGGTTCTCTCGTTTAATCTTCACGTTAATTAAAGCGTGGGTGATTTTTGTATGTTGCTGTTTTAGCTACGCTCTTGAAATTAAAATCTACACAATATGTTGTTGTTAATAATCCAAGTGGTGTTCGTAGTAACTGTTGGAAGATATTCGGTCTTCCTACAGAGGTAATCGATGAACCAACAAATAAAACAAATATTATTAAAGGATTTGCAAGTTGCAGAAAATGTTATGCAACGTTAGTTTACGATTCAAAGTCAATTGGAAATAAAAATTTGAACGATCATAATTGTGTGAAAAGTTTAGGTGGAAATTCAAGAATCCATGATCATTTAATATCATCGATAAAACCTATTCCATTGTTTAAAAAACAGCATTTATCGGAAACAATTGCTGAATGGTCATCGATGAACTCTCGCCCATTTCGACTGGTGGAAGGTGATGGTTTCAAGAAAGTTGTGCAAGAATTACTGTCAATTGGTCATATATATGGCCCTCACAAATCCGATGATGTATTACCATGTGCAAATACAGTTAAAAATAAAATTGAAGAATTAGCTCAAAATAATCGTACTGAATTATCTAAAAAGCTGATTTATTCGGCTGAAAATCAAAAACTTTCGTTGAGTCCTGATTTATGGACCGACTCATATGTGAAACAAACTTATTTGGGTGACATTAGGTTCCTTAGCAACACTTAAGCTTCTTTTCACGCTCTTTTTATTAATTAGGTATGACGGCTCATTTCGTGCATGAATTTGAATCTCATTCGGTTGATCTTGGTTGCCGTGAATTTTTATATGAGAAAAAAACAGCTGAGAATGTATCATTGTCGATTGATAATTTACTTCATGAATTTAACTTAAAACTATATCGTGATGAAATACCATTTGTTATAGATCGGGGCAGTAATCTTAAAGCAGCGCTACATGACAATCAAATAACACATTGCTATGGGCATAGATTAAATAATATATTGAAAG